TTTTTTTTTAAACTCTAGACAAAAGTATAGTATTTGAGGAACCAGCAAATATAGGAAGACCTTAAAATCTCCACTTCTGCAACTTTGCAAGATGGTTTTGTCTCTTGGACTGTGGTGGCTGTGGGACGTTGTGGTGGCTCTGAGGTGTGGGAGTGCTTGCTGCATAACTTAATAGTAATTTCACAGCTTTCATCCAAATAATTTATTTCAACCTGCTGGCCAGAGTGTTTCCCAGACTTCATTTATATCTGATAGCCACACCTGATACAGACAGAAGCCAGAAATATGTACTCCCATGTATTTGTCTTGTCATATTACTAAACACTGCCCGTTACCCAGAATGTGGCTATCCTTGTGTTTGCCCGAAAAGCAGTAGCCAAATACCGATTCAGTGTGGTCACTGGGTCATTCAAGAATCACGTAGGTTGGAAAAGACCCTGAAGATCATAAAGTCCAGCTGTTAACCTAACACTGCCAAGTCCACCACTAAACCATGTCCCTAAGCACCACATCTACAGGTCTTTTAAATCCTTCCATGGATGGTGACTCAAGCACTTCCCTGGGCAGCCTGTTCCGATGACTGACAAGCCTTTTTCTGAAGCAATTTTTCCTAATATGCAATCTATAATTTAAATTTACATAATTTAAATTTATATAAACTAATTTCCTAATATGCAACCTCCCGGGTGCAACTTGAGGCTCCTGTCCTATTGCCCGTTACTTGGGAGAAAATACTCTTTTGTCTCTTTTTGTAGACTTTGCTACAACCCCCTTTCAGGTAGTGGTAGAGAGTGACAAGGTCTCCCCTGAGCCTTCTTTTGTCCAGGCTAAACAACCCCAGTTCCCTCAGCCGCTCCTCATGAGACTTGTGTTCTAGACAGCACTTCAATGTCGTCTTTGTAGTGAGGCGCCCATCCATCATCCCATCAATTTTTCTGTACAGGAGGAAGTTTTTGTGAACATCTTCCACCTTCGCTAACAATGACCCTCTCCATGGCCATACTGCATGAAAAGCTTTTATCCTCACTGGTATTTTTATCCTACTCTGCACATCTTTAAACAGTGCAACTCAGAAACGTTGGTTGCAGTGATATGGTGTGACTGTGATGCTGTCTGTGAGGAGCTGGACTACACTGTGATGCCGGAGTACCAAGAGGTGCCCAGTCAGGGCCTGCAATGACAGGCAGCGCTCATCCAGGGCCATGGAGACCCATGGCTCCTGGTTTAGCTCTTGGCATTGCTAATTCCAGTGGGTCTGTGCTGGCTTCCCCACTGGGACATTTTAGTAGTCCTCCCCAGTGCCGACAAGCCCTTACTGTGCACTTTGTGTTACCTCAGCTGGGGTTTAGATTTGGGGTATCTCTGGTCCTTGTGCAGCAGTTTTGGCACATGAACAGATAGGAGTTGATCCGGTCGGGTCCTTCCTAAGCTCTTCTCTGCTGGAAGGTACTCGTGACATAACCTGCAGGATTTGAGCAGGTATTAAGTCTGTATGGCTTGGGGAAGTCCAAAGGGAAATGCCGCACCTTGGGATTCACCTGGAAATGTATCACAAAGTTCCTTTGAGGCCAAACAGGGAACATATTATGGGAGCAAATTGGCTAAACTGGTAACTTATAATGCAAAATAAACATTAACAATGTTGGCATTTGTTCTGAGATTTCTCCCTGTATAAAAATTGCTGTCTGTTTTTGTCTTTTACCACTGTAGTATCTGAACCTTTCACAAACACTAGTTAATTTACCCTCATATCGTTTGTGTTTTGGCCATGGTTTTAATCCCATCTGTGCAAGTGCAATGGTTTTAAAAAAAAAAAAAAAAAGATAAATGTAAGTATCGAGCTAATTACAGTGTCTAGATTAGTAAGACGTTCAGCATTTTTGACCATACCTGTGGTAACTCACCCAGGAAGCATTTTACGGAACTGTCTGGTTGCTACCACAGAGTCAGCCCTCTGGAAGAAACAACAGTTGTGTATATATAGAAAGAGGAAAGCTGATGGTGGTGGCAGACGGTACTTGTTCCTTTCCGGGCTGACTTTCTGGGAGAATTAGCTTGGCTGCTCCTTCAGTGGTAACTTTAGCATGGTCTGTGGGTGAATATGAGAGGAACTCCTGTTCCTGCCAGGTCCTTCTGTATTAGGTGTTTAGTTCGATGATGGGATGAAAATAGCACACACTCCTTTAGGTAACAGCCTCCACCTGTTCAGTGGTAAAAGTCTGTCTATAACCATCCTGTACCACGTTGCTGCAACGTTTGATGTCCTAGATTGATTGCTGCTTTTATCACACTTTCCAAAGCAAGAGAGATTAATAGAAATTGTTTGGTCTAATACGATGGTTATCTTTAGTCTCAAGTCAAAATTTGCTGTCTTTGTATTGCTTCACTAGAAAAGCTCTATATGATTCATTTATTTCTCCATATTACTCTAAATTTATATTTTCTTTTACTTTGCACATCTTCTGACCTGAAGTTAACTGATTGCCAGTTAACTCAAGCTGGGTAAGAGTTCTGTAAATACTGAGAGAGTTGCTGTCTAAATGTTTTGTTCTAGCATTCAGATGTTTGCTCTTTCATCTCTGGGCTCAGTCATGGAGAAAATGGACCTGATTATAGCCTGTTGTGAAAACTCCCTGGCAAAACTGAGTCTGTCCTTTGAAGTGCTACCAGTTTGCAAAAAACACACTTGTTTCTCTTTGATGCCAGACAGACACAGCACCAACTTCAAGTTTACTTGCTGCTTAGCCAAAGCCAGCACCTGGATGAAAAGCAGCTGTTTTAAAAACTGGGCTCAGAAGGATGCTATGAAGTTTTGCTGGCATGTGCTGCATAAGGATGCTTGGATCCGTGTACATTTGGGAGATGACAAAACCCATTTGTGGTGGTTGTTCTTGTTCGAGTTTAGCAGAGTCTGCCACAGCAAGGAAGCACTCCATTTGCAGAAGCACAGGAATGACATTCTGCTGAAGTTGGGATCTCCTGCTGTGGGAAATGCTTTGGACTTTCCCTGCTCCTTAAGGCATGTTGAGGTTAACTTTCTCGCCTTTTTAAGGCCGTCTGATCATCAAGATGCATTTTGTTTGCTCCTTACTCCTGGCTACACAGATAGCTGTTTTAGCATAAAAAACCCCAAAGCTATGAAATCCAAGAACAAAAATCTTGTCACTTTTCTAATTTGAGCTAGACTGTAGCCCAATCTGTGCTTGCAAACGTGGTAAACTGTGCCATCATTATCTTCAGGCATGAGTATTGCAGCTCACAGCTAGCAATGAAGGATTTCAAACCACTTGTTCCTGTGATGTACCCATTTGTGTTTTCTCCCCTGATGGTTACACAAGCCGGCCCAAAAGCTGCTCTCCCTGAGACTGGTCCTTCTTGAAACAAGTCTATACATAGACTCATGCAGTCTCTGTAGAAAGGACAACATTACTTATGGATAAACAGAGTGGAAAATGCAAGGTGAGAAGAGTTACTGCTGTACCAAAAGGAAAAAAATAATAAAAATCTAGCCAAGTTCTGGGAGAGAGTTGAATCGGCAGTTGAAGAGCTTGGATTCCTAGAGCTCTTGTGGGCTGAATGGCATGGCAGTGAAGACCTGATGAGAAGGGGATGGGGAGGGAGGAGGAGACCTCCTTGTTCTCCTTTTGAACAGTAGTCTGCCCAATATTGAGCTGCAGCCAACCCTCTGAAATAAAACTGTGAAATAAATTTAGGAGACGTAAGAAGGGGTTAAGAAGGAGATGGATATTTTTTCCTTCTTTTTTTTTTAATTGATTTAAGTGGTGTTCTAATAAAAAGAAGTTATTTATCTTGGATACCGTTTTTACCATTGATAGTATCTTTCTTCAGCTTGCTTAGCAGTGTAATCAGCAGTTTTGAAGCCAGTTGTTAGCAGGAGGATGACTTGCAAATTGTGATTAGTGGGCTACAGCTTTCAAATGCACTTTTTTGTCAGCCTGTCTGTGTCCCCCCCGCCCCACCAGTGTTTGGCTTCCAGTTACCTGAATGTAGTGGTATGATTCCATAGCTTCTGGTTCACTCATGAGACACAACTTTGGGGGAAAAATAGGAAATGCCTAAATAAAAAAACCCTCCTGGAGTATGTTAAGCCTCTTGCTGCAACTAGGATCCAAGTGTGTTGGAAGCTACTAGGAAAGCAAGAGCATCACACTGAAGGTTGGGCGTGTAGCTTGGCCTGTTAGAATCCGAATCAATATGTGACATTTTTAAGCAGGTCGTTGTCTTTCTCAGGTGGGTTGATTCAGCACCTTGGATCTAGGCATGTCCATAGGTGTGTGAATTCTAAGAGCAAAAGAGCTACAGGTGAGCTTACGCATTCTGGTGGAGTAAGACTGCTGCACTGTATTTACATGTCACAGAGCAGGTGCAAGATGGTTTTGAGTTGTTGAGTAACCCAGGGTATATTCTTTGCCTCCTTTTGAAGTCAACAGAAAACTTGTCGCTGACTTCAGAAGGGAGGTCTTCTGTGTTGGTCCTAGCTACACAACAACTTTCAACCATGCTGACAATTCTGACATCAGTATGAATGATGGACACTGGAAGTAAATACAAGAGATTTTCAGGCAATGGACTACATGTCGTAGCAAGGAGACAGACGTACTTAATGTGTAAACCTGTATTGTTTTGTACCAAAGACAACTTTAATTTAGGATGCCTAAACATGCTTTAATGGTCAAGAGAAACAGGTTTTAGAGAAACCTGATATATTTCCTCTATCAACTGTCTTTTTCTGCTTTTTTTCCTAACAGAAGCTAACACAAATATTCTGAAAAAAAATTGAAATTAATTTTGAATGTTCTTTACCAGTTACCGAACTGTTTCTATTCACAGTGAAATGTTAGTAATTTATTGCCTCTTATTGTGTGTCTGTCTTTGAATTTTATGAATCAAGTGTGGGTGTGTGTGGGGGGTGTGTATGCGTAGGTAGAGTATAGATGTTTTAAAGTGTGTGTCCTCACGTGCAAGTTTTAATTTTGCAGACGATATCAGAAATTGCAGAAGATAATGAAGCCCTGGTAAGAACCTGATTAGATCATCACCTTGCACACTTCCTCTTCTTTTGCATGACTGAATTCAGGCCCTTGCGCTAATCTTTATATGTAAATACAACTGTGCATATTCATTCAGCCAGTCTTTAACATTCTCCGTTTCCTGCTCTTTGTGATGCCTGTTAGAATTTTCTGATGAAGCTTTTTTTGCTTTGCTTGTGGAATGGGTGCTTCATTTCTGTAACTTCTGCAGGGGCTTCTATTATTTCCTAAGTAAGGCTTTCATTTTGTTTTTTAATTTGAGCAGACAAATAATTTCGCTGCCTTCCCCAATTCCCCTCTTAAATTTGGCTGGCTTACATGATTGATAATAGGGAATTTTAATTGTTGATGTTAGTGAGCTGAAAGTAAGAGCCATTGTGCCAGTTTGAATTCCTCTTATTTGTTGGTCCCAGGTAATGATAGTTGTCGCAGATAACTGCATAAAGGAAAACTGTAATACAGTGAAGGACCTCATATCAGAAAGCTCAGAAACATGCCCATTTCCAGATGCTTTTGAATGGAACTCTTCTGTGTGCTTTGAGTTAAGCACAGGCTTCATAGGCTTTGACAAATTGGGACCCTGAGAGATATTTAGAATATCTTGATTGCCTTGCGAGTTTGACGTGTCAAGTATAGCTAAAACCCAAGGAAGCAAAAGAATAGTTAATCAATTAACCATGCATCTGTCACTCTGAGAGCTTGATGTGGTCTATCAAGCAGGAAATGCAGTTCCCCACCTGAATCCATGCTAAACCATACTTTCACAAATCAACTGTAAACCAAGTTCTGAAACATTTATTATTAAATCATTGCCTAATATAAATTAGACAGTAAGAATTAAATTTGGCAGGAAACTTAAATCCTTCCTCAACGTTTGCCTTTTCAACCTAATACAAAGTAACTTGTTTCATAATAGAAAAGTTTAGATTCTGAGGAAAATTATTAAAATGGAATGAGGCTTCCAGAGTTCTTGGCAGCATCACCCCTGCTGAGACAAGGTACCTCCTGTGCATTTGGATGGTGGGTTTTTTCTCACTGCTGTGAAAATATTCTTTGAGGAAGAATTGTTACACTCCTTCAGCATATCTCTGCTTCCAAATTCAGTTATCCTGTAGGCTTGTCTACATTAAATTATGTGATTGTCCTCAAGACAGTACTAAAATACTAACTTACAGTTGCATTGCACCTTGATTTTAGGACCTGATCATACTGATGATCTGAATTATTTTTTTATATACAGTGTAGTTTTGTTTACTCATGGGAACAAGGCATTACCTACTTTAAGAGGGTTCTTATTGATCAGTGCAGATATACCACATCAACAGAAACAGTGGTAAAGAAAGTGTATGTGACTAAAGTTTATTCTAACTTTTGAAGTTAAATCCTGCCAGTAGAAGCTTCAATTTACATTGGGGCACACAGTTTAATATTTTGATTTCCATCAGTAGTACACGAAATGATGCAATTAAAATAACACAAATTCTTGAGTTGGGAACTTGTGCTAAAAAAAAAGATACTAGAGCCATTGGTCAGGACATGAAACCAATAGCTCTGGAAGCTTGCCTGTTTGTACATTTTCAAGGTAAAGTGTATACACTAATGCTCTATGAGTGTAATTATTGAACATCCTGACTATTTTTCACCCATGTATTAATGGGAAAAGGTCGAATGAAACAAGAACTATAAAAAAAAAAAAAAGAGCTCAGACCTTGATATAATGAACTAAACTAAACTTTAAAACTTTGCAACCTCCACCTTCTGTCTTCTTGACTAAAGAAACTTAAAGAAAACAAATGCTAATTACAAAAAAGGTTAATTTTGATTTACAGGATGACATACTTCATAAAGTGCCAGTATTTAGTTTTACCTCTGATAGCTTGCACATGCTAGCCTAACGTAATTAAAACCTGATTTTCCACAGAGAGGCCTTGTTTAATAGCTTTCTCCACTGAAGGAAGTTATTCTAAAATGTTTCTTTTTCTCCATCTTTTCAGTTTTAGGGGTTCCCATTATGTTTTGTGATTTTATTTATCTCATGTTGGCTAATACTTGGATTTAAAAAAAAAAAAATTCCCATCAAACAGCTCTATCAGTTGACTTTTGCTTTGCAGTATTGAATTGTAGTCAAACCACGCTGACTGGAGAGTGATGTTTTTCCTGGTCTTTTAAGAAAAGCTGGTCCATTTAAGGAAATTATCATTAAATGAGCAAACCCAGGTATTTAAAAGATGGGGAATAAGAGAAAAGGTAATTCTAATCACATCTTCTTGAAGAACCAGTGTGTAATAGTTCCACTGGGCTAGTTTCCCATACAAACAAATGCTTAATGTACCTCAAAGTGGATTTAGTCATATTCCATAATAAGGGTATCTACACCTGGATTTATTCAAGAATAGTTACAGTTCTGCTTAAAATTCGCAGCTTGTTTTCTTTAATCAGAGTTAATTTTCAAGCTTAAAGAAGCCTTGATACCAGGGTTACAAAGCTATTTCATTTTTTTGGAATGCTAGTGGTTTAAAATCAGTAGGGTTGATCCCTTGTAATGAATGCAGTCAAACTGTACTGCAAAAAAACATTTCAGTGGTGCTTGTCACGATGAAAAAAAGCAACCCCAAAACCCTGTGTCAATCGCAGTGTAGCAGTTAAGTGCATTTTCTGTAATCATCTAGGAAAATAGGGGCAGCTACCCTGCAGATTGTGCAGTCATTTTCAGCTGTACAGAGTAAGTACCAAGTAGGTGTGAATTGCTCCTGGTTTGATTTGATGATGGCTTAGTTTCACTCTTGGAAAGGTTACTTGAAGAAACAAGGCAGTGTAGAAGCAATGAAGAGGAGCCATAGCAATAAAAAAGGTACTTGTTCACACTGCACTTGCAAAGCATCCTGCTGCATCATCAGTCTTCGTTTTGGACTTGGCTAGGTTCTCGCCCTCATGGCTTTTCCAGAGCTCTTGTCCTCTGATGATTTGATTTATGCTGCTCCCCTGTTTAAATTTATTCATGGCCATATATCCTTGACAACTCTAACTTAAAAAGCTGTTCTTACTCTTTGATGTTGACCTCAAATGATGTCAGGCCTTTCAGCTGCCCAGCATTAGGCTGTGAGCACAGTTGCTGAATGATAAGGGACGTAGTTAACTGCTTCCTCAACTCCTGCATTTGGAAGTGAGCTGCAACTCTTTTGTTGCTTCCTGCCCAGTTGAAGTTGTTTCTTTGCTGCCTTTCCTCTGCACTATTAGAGATCAACTTTGGTCCTCTTTTGCCCATGAAAAATGGTTTGTGTAAAAGTGTACTGTCTTTGGCTTCTAGGCCTAAAGGGCTGGTGGCTGTATTCTGGTTGTGACAGGCAAGCAACAGTTAATTTCCAGTGCAACTTTTATCATATAAAACATGAGATAGTCCACCTAGCTTTCTAATAGCTTGTAGTGCTTTTTTTTGTTACTTGATGACAGCTGAGCCTGAATAATTACCTTGATTTAAAGAATCATTTGAACAGCTGAATATTTTTCACTCCTCAGTAGTAATAAAATGTTCATTTTGGTGTGTGTGTTAAACATGGATGGAGATTTTTTTTTTACCCAAAAAAACATCTAGGGGTTTGGGTGCTCCAGTCCCATTAATCTATTCCGATAAGAAATCCAAATTGCTTTAGGCATCTTCCAAAATATCAGACATGGTTCTATATATATATACATCTGAGGATTACTTAGCACATATGATAAAAAGATGGTTTAGCATCTAGAAATGATACTAGGAAGGCAGGTGAGAGGCAGGTGTGGTGGTCAGGGTCACGTGCACATTCCTGTCATTTTTATTTTTAGGAAAGAAAAGCAAATATCAAAATGCGTGGAGTTTTTTTTTTTCTTCATAGTTTCTTAAGGTCAGAATGCAGAAAATTCTTTGGCATGTAAATTAACAGCCTTTGACCTGATATTTCTCTAAAACCTAGAAATGTGAAATGCAACTGTTGACTTACTGTTCACTCAGGTTTGTCAGAGGGGTTGAGGTGCACGGGCTGTGGGTGAGAGCATAGCCATCCATCCGCACTGGAACGGCTCACGCTGGGACAGCCGATGGTGTTACAGACCAAAGTTTACCGCTGCTTAAGAGGCTTTTGCTGGGAGCTGCTCTGGGTGAGGAGGTGCTTCATGACCCGTTCATCCATCCCCACAACAGTAGTTAGAAGAGGGGAGTCAGACAGCAGAGGATGGGGAAACTTCATCAGCTGTCCCAGCATAAGGTGTCCCCACCTAAGAGCCAGAGCCCTGAACGGCACTCAGGAGGGATTGTACAAGTAGCTTGCCCGAGAGCATAAATCATTAAAATGTGCTCGTGGGATATGAAATTGCAATTACATAGTGCATCTTCCTGATAATTTTTCCTCTCTTGCTGCAATGACACGCATTAAAAAGCACCTTCATCAGGAATTACCGTCAAACTATTACGTCATTTTGCCAGAGCAGCAAGGGTTTGCACTTTACAGAACCGTTGTGCTTTGTGGATTAGTCAAACAAGATTTTATGAAGAAAGGAGCCCCATCATTTTTTTGGCCTTTTGTGTGACTAAAACACTTATTCACTGAGATTTTGAGTTAAACAGCTCCTACCACGTATTTTCCAAGATTACTACTTTTACGAACAAGCTTTGATCCCCTTGAAATTTCTAGCATCTATTCTGTCTGCTGCTCTGAATAGTATGAATGCGTCTGTGCATGTGTGTCTCGAAATGAATTGCTTGGAAGAACCATTTCTACCTATTTGCTTGTGTTTAAACACATAACAATGAATCAACAGCAAGTCCCTTCCCCCTCCAGATACTTTAATCCTTATCTTGCTCTAGTTACCCTGGAGATTGCTTTCATCTCTGGCTGTGCTATTCCTAATGCTTATCCTTTAGGCCTGGCTTTTGACTTCTGCAGTGCCATTTCGTGTATACATGTGTGTGCAGGTGCATATATATAGCTATATATTTTTAAAATTACATGCTATGTGTGTGTGGTGCTGCATAATGTAGAATTGGGAGTATTTTGTTCTGCTTGATTAGTCCCAGTGTTGCACCTCTTCAGTCCCATTAACTATTTGAAGTGGTGTCACTGGAGTGACACCTGGTGGGGTGTCTGATCATTTTAAGTTCAAAAGTACTTTTAGCTTCTGGATCCCTAACGGTTGTATCACTGTCCAGCTACTAAAACCAGGTTTATACATTAATACCAGTATTTTCAGCTCCATTAACCCAGTTTCCTCTCCAAAGCTGTGGAGGAGGCTGGGTGAAGTGTCAGGGTTAATCAGTAGTTTTGGTGAAAAGACTAAATGAGACTGTTGAATGTAAAGGAATTAAACTAACCTGAATTCCTGTCACCGCTGTTCTGAAGGTGAATATCCATATGTAGGTTTAATACAGTTTAAGTAATCCCTCTATACTATATCCATTGTTAATGGGGATTAGCTTTCATGTACAATTGGTTTATAGAAGAGTATTTATGTGCAAAATATAGGTTAATTGACTAAATTTTTAAACAGTACATGAGAAAATCTAGGGGAGATAAATTATCTGCTTAGTTTAATGCTGTGAGAGATACTTTCATCTACTTTTTAACATATATGACCTATCTTTTTGTAATTTTTAAATTTTTGTTTGGATTTAATCTAGCTTCTTAAAATACCATAATTCCATATATTTGTGGAAGTATTCTGTCATGAAGATGCATGAGAATTTGGTACAAGTTTTTAGAAGGAAGCCTTTCCTAGGTGTGCAATTTTATTTGTGGAGTCATAAATAACCATTTTATGCAAAAGGAATGGATTAGGGAAAATGACAGGACCAGAGCTGATTAAATTTCTTGCAAAGTCTTATTGTTGTCTTTTTATGAAATCCTTGGTTATTTGGAATGCTAATGATGACATTTTGAATCGAATTTAATTCATAAAAGACTTGCAGTATTAAAAAACAGGCAAACAAAACCAACCCCCCTCTCCCCCAAAACAAAACCAAAAACTTCCAGATCATGTATTTGCTGAACAAAATATTCCTTGCAGAATTACAGTGGATTTTTTAAAGACTCTGTATTTTTCTTGTTTGCTCTTTGGTGTAGCTTTTTTCATTTGGTCTTAAATTATCAAAGCCACTGTGGGTACCCTTACTTCCTGTGGAAAAGAAAGATGTGTTTGGGGTTTTGTTCATTTGTTTATTTGTTTACTCACAAAATGTCAAGAACGGCAAATTTATTTTTAGTGGAGGGCATCTGTGGAGTTTTGATGAACAAGAGCTCCTATCTTAAATGAAGAGGCTGCTAAAGGCTCCATCTCACAACCTGAAATCCCTAAAAGGCAGATTATATCAAATCTGATAAACTAGTTATTGGAGTTGCTACATTGAAACGGATTTTCTGCCTTATTCCTCTGTACTGCAGTACATGTCTTCCATCTGAATGGATGTTCACCTATTTGTGTTGGGTTGGTGCAGGATAGTAGGGGAGCAAATCACACAGTAAAGATTACCAATTACATTGTTTACCTATGGCTTTACTATTAGACTCAGGTTTTCAACATACTGAGCGTTGTAGTTCCAATCTGACAGAGGTTTTTTTTAAATTTTCTCTTTCATTTAGATAAGCTGATGCATTAAAATCAATGGGACTATCTATTCGTGCTGTTTAGATTGATTGTATGCTTCTGCTCGTTAATGGCTTAGTGGCAGAGTACCTGGCAGGCGGTTTGGCATGCCCTTAGAGGTAATACGCTGCTTCTGTTGGGTAGTTATCTCATTGAATGGCTTCATTGACATCATTGTGGCTGCTGACTGTTCGGTGCCCTGACTATATAGAGAAATGAAGCTAATCTTTAAAAGCTGTTTTTTAGAATGGAAAATTCCAGTGCAGATGGTCAGGTTAGAGCATATTCTTTATGTTGAGTTTAAACCCATTTTGAATTTAGTTGAGTTCCTACAAAGATGCCTTGGATCGCAAATTTACAGGTGTAGGTTGCAGTGTAGTGGGCCTGCAAACCCTAAACAATTTGAGCTGCATGCTTTCATAAACTATGGGAACTTTGCAATTCGCTTGACATGTTTGCCCATAGATAAACAAAAGGAGATGTATCTTCACGTTCAAAGAAAGAAATCGAGACATTAGCTGTTGGAAAATTGCTGCTCAGTAGCAAATCTCTTCTGGTGCATTTTAGAAATATATTTGCTTCCTTGTAAGAGACGGAACAAATAATCCACTAACTTTCTGCCAGTCTGCTTGATACAGAGGTACCAAAACGTGACACTTCTGTATGACATTCAGTTAGGAGCATTTCCATAAGCTGGTAAGAAAAAGCTCACTTCTTTTCTTCTGTTAGATCTAAAACTCTGAATTTATAAGAGAAGCTTAATTTGGACTATCTGATTTCCTTAAGCATTGCATCTAGTGTTCTCCTGGGGATTAGTTCTCCTACAAAGTTGCTTTCTTCCAGGTGACTGTTCTTGATGTCTATGCTAAATTGTTTTGGGGACTATCTGTTGCACGGCCTCCCTTGCTCTTCTGCTACCTCTTAGTGCATAATTGGCTTAATTTTCCTCCCTTTCTGAAAGCTTCCTGCTGCTTTGCTCCCTCGATCATTGCCCTGCTGCATTACTAGTAAATGTTCTCATGACTCCTGTCTCTTGCAGCTTTGGAGATATGTTGTCCTTTACACTGACTGCATTTGTTGAGCTGATGGATCATGGGATTGTATCGTGGGATACATTCTCTGTGGCATTCATTAAAAAGGTAAATTTGTAATCAATGCTATCTGTTCTATATCTTTAAATTCTTAAGGTGAGTTGTGGTTTGTTCCCCTCCTCGCCCCCAGGTACACTGTTTAGGTCATTGGTCAAAAAGGTACGTGAAAATGGGATTAAAGTGCTGTTTCAAACTATAAATTTGTAGTTTCAGGATCTGGCCCAGCTTCTATGGAAATCAGTGGGAGTGAAATGGGATCAACACTGTATTAGACTTATGACACAAGAAATTGCTCGCTCAATTACAGCGTGACCTCCCTGTGCAGATCCCATGCAGTTAAAGCAAAAACTAGTATTTTGATTTAGTGTAAATTAAAATGAGTAATACCATATTTATTGAAACAAAAACATCACTGAAGTGTTTCCTCTGGGGGCATGGGAGGAAGAGAAATGAGTTAGTTTACAAATTGAAATTAAGCTGATACCTGCTGAGTTTATCAAGTTGAACTCTGATGCCACTGAATCTTGCAGCTGAGGTCTGTGGTTTTGAAACAGATCTTTACACCATTTGCAAAATTTTTTTTTCTTTTCTTACATGTAGGAGATGCATAAAAGCAGCAGAAACACGGGAGTACTCTTTAAGTAAAGAAATTTAACAGATTTCAGGGAAAAGTTGTTGTTACTGATATAACCCTTTTCATTTACTGGGTGGGGGAAACCCTCACATCTGTTTACAAAGAATTTTCAAACCAGGTTGAACTCAGAACTTATCTTAAGTTGAAGTGCATTTGTGCAGGTTCAAAAAAATATCAGAGGTATCACTCAAATTATATCAGAAGCAGTAATGGAATGAATATAACATGTGGCAAAGATTTATTCATTTTGAGTGTGTCAGAGCAAAGACTTTTAATTTAGATTAGCTTGGAAAATTACTACCACCAAAGGAAAGTACAAATTTACTTTTGTTGCCAAAAGTGAAAGAAGGATCAATTATGAAAAGAGCATTAGATTTTAAAGCTCAGTTTTTGTCATTAAAAACGATGGATGCTATTTGTAAGAAAAATTAGTATAATTGACCTCGGTTTTGGACCCCCCCCCCCCCACACACACACTTGCAGTCTAGATAGATTGTTACGATGATTATTGTTACTTTTCATGGCAGAGAAAATAGTACAGTTGTTTTTTAACTGGCAAGGTCAAGCCCAGAATGCCTTATCTGCTAGTGGAGCCTACCAAGAAGTGTATGAAGAAACTTGCTAAGATGAGTTTAAATCGATCTACTTTGTTAATGACTCGGAATGATTGTCTTTGTCTAACCCTATCAAGACCTTTTGCCATGTGGATTGTATAGTAACTACAGAAGAAAGTGTTGTGTGCACCCCTGTTAATGGCTCATCTCTTCTGTCTGGCACTTCCATGGGTTTCCCTGGACAGTGACTCAATTTAAAAACCAAAAGACACAAAAGCATTCTCACAAAGAACCTATGGAAACCAAAACCTGCAAGTAAAAACCAAAAGTGAAACTGGTGGACAAGAAAGGCACCAAGGAGAATAGGACAGTTAGGATAGACACAGAAGGACAAAGACTCACAAAAATAGAGGAAAGAGGCACAGGTGTGTCCTGACCTGCCACACAGTTGGGAGCCAGAAGAGCAGAGCCCTCAGTGGGGCTTTGTGGGCAAGGGGCAAACCTAAAGGGGCACCTTTGGACTATGTCCCTCTGGAAGCAATCTGCAGCATTATTCTCACTTGCTTCTCTGACCTTGGCTTTTGGCAGGCCACTTGAGGTTGCTGATGGGCTAGCTCAAGTGGCTGACAGGGTGGATAAGGGAGCTGATAAGTTTCTGCTAGCTGAGGGGAAATGTGCAATCCCACTTCAAGGATTGCTTCTGCCCTTTGAAGCTGTCTTTCATGTTAAGTGGGAGCCAAACTGGAATGGGGAGGAATTAATCTGAACTTTTTTCTTGAATAGTTTTGTAACTTAAAACGTAGAAGCTGGAGGAGACCTCAAGGGGAACCTCTAACTGCTTCTAATGACTAAGTATTTGGTGTTGGATGCCGTCTCCCTCCTATCCTTTAGGTACATAAAGATTTCTATGCCAACTGCTGCAAATATCAAGGAGAACTTTGTTCCTTATCTTAAAGTAAAATAGCATCATTTGAAAAAATGTCCTTATGATATGCAAGATTCTCTCAAGACCTTTTTCTTGCTTACGACAATAAAATTTATTTCCAGCTTCCATAGTTTTCCTAAAGGATTTGGATGTCCAGTTCTTAGAAAATGTCATGGTAATTGGATGTCAAAATATTGGTATATTAACAATAATTTGGTACTCGCATCTTTAGTTCCTACAAGAGGAGAAACAAAGTTTGTAGTATTGATTGAGATAGTTGAAAATGTTCTTAGAATTATTTATATTATTTATATTATTTCTTAGAATTATTTATGCTCTTTCATAACTGTGATGCAGAGTCTTAACCTTGATGAATTGATTACTCTGCCTTCTAAAATGTACTGTGCAGGAAAAGGGGGTGACAAGCAGGGAAAGTATCTCTGTGTCTCACAGCTGTCAGCGGGTTTTTCTGTAGCCAAGTGCAACTCTCATTCCTTACTTGAAAATGAGATGCAAACTTTAAAATTTTACTATGCATTAGGACTTAACAGAGAACAAAACTTTGTCAGATTTTTCTGCACATTTCTGACATCAAAATGGTCCAGGCAAGTAACTAATGAACATACCACTGCTCAGAAAATAGATCTGTTTCCTTCACTATTCTTTCCCTGTGTGGTTCTTGTTGGTGGCGCAGTTTATTTTGTTTGGTTGGGCTTTTTTATTTTTTTTTTTAACTTTTGAATTCTCTCCCATGCTTCAAGTGATGCTGAAACAGGAAGATAACCTGGATGATATAGTTTAGTTTGCTATAGGTTTCTCATCTACCCTCACTTTACATGTTTATCTCTTGTTTCAGCAAGGCTGGCGCTGAATGTGTAAAGGCATTCTGATTGCTAATTTCTCTTGAAATCGCTTGGAATTTAAGCACCCAGCCACTTCTTTTGTATGTTGCTATATATGTCCCAATAGGACTATGCAGGTATTAAGGTTGCAGGTATTTTTCTGAACAAATGGTTTTATCCTTAATGAGGCACACCCGTGTGACAGGTTGTCATGTGAAAGTGCAAGGCAATGAAGTTGCTTATTTCTGGAGGAGAGGTTGTATTTCTGTGAGCTTGCATTATTTTTATCATCAGAATTTTTGATAAATGAGTGCAGGATTATTTTTGGATGTTGAAAGCCCTCCCTGTGCGTGGTGCCCAATAAGCAGAGAACAGCAAGTAACACAAATTTGTACTCTTCTTGATTCTTGTCTCTTTTCAAGAAGGGTTTTGGGTTTTGTGTTTTTTTTTTTTTTTTTGATACCCAGAACTTCAAGTATGGTAATAGAATTTCTTTTGAATCTAATTTTGTTCCCTCTGGAACTGGCATGCCTTACTTATCAGGGTAGACAAGCCTATTATTTCTGGTCAGACTTCATGCGTCAGCAAGGTGGTTATGAGTATACATAGCTTGACATGCAAGTTACCTGGCAGGTCTTTTGCGTGTATGTTCAGTGTGATATTTCATAGCTTTTTAAGCACACAAGCCAGCTTCATACCTTGGGTTTGTGTTTACGCTTAAAATACGTTATGGTCCAGGATCAGAAGAATAAATGTCTAAGGCAGCCTTTCCTAGGCTGAGGTTGCAGTTATCTATACTGTTACGTTTCTGCAGGCCCCTGATCTGAATATGTTATATCCCAGTGAAGCGTTTACACTGCCGCTTGAAATACCATGGGAAGGAGCTGCTGCACCAAGAATAATTCATGCACGTCAGGGCGTCTAAAGGGGATGGTGGCAGCTGTCTGGCAAGTTGGGACACAGTCTGGACATGCTGTATTTCTGCTGCACGATTGATCCATGGAAGCCTGGTGACTGTGAGGTATCCAGAGCTCATTGGGTTTATTGTGTGAGCAGTGCAGGGTTGCTCTGTGCATACGCTGCCCGTACTGTGGGCCTTTTAGATGTCTGGCAGCTCTGGCTGCAGTGCATCAGAAAACAGCTGGATTACCATTAAGAGAGGTAAGGTAGTACAGTGCTTCTGAGATACAGCTTGTTACTCTAAACAGCACAATTTGCATCATGTACTAATGTAAATATCACTTGGGCTTAAGACTTGCAGGCAGCAGATACTGAAAGCCCAGATGAGAAAAGGCTGGCTTGCTTCTCTCCTCCTGTTTTCTATGCATGCATGGGTCGGTTCTTTATTTTCTGTAAAGTCAATGTGTATTTCCTGAACTGAGTTACATTCCGCGTAGCATGTTCCTATTGTGGTAGTGCAAACCAAGTAGCAGAGCAAACAGCAACGCTGCAATAGATAAGAAGAGGAAAAACCTGCCCTTCTTTCCTTGTCGGCTCCAACCAAAGTTGCAGATAGAGTGTTTTGCTCCTTTAGTGCTACTTAAAATGTCACAAGTACAAAACAATGTTGTTGTTCACATGTCAGTATTTAACTGTGAATTTTACAGGCAGCTGGCAGCTTTTCCAAGCATCTGGCATGCCTTTCTTCTTCCAAAAGGAAAACAATGCCAAGGCCTTAAGCACACATCCAGAATCAGAAACAGTATAATCCCATTAGTGGCTTGTAGCCCGAGTACTGAAGAAGCACATGGACTTGAAGTTTTCTGGAAGGAACGCATCAAACTTGAGACGGGGCCACTGTAGTCTTTTACTTGGCTGCAAAAAGCAAATAACTGTGGTCACACGACATTTCTTCTGTCTGCCTCTGCTTCCTCGGGTACCTTTCAGCTTGACTGTGCTGTTGTCAGTGCATTCGAGGAAAACCCAGGCACTTCTCGCTTCCTGCGTCAGCAGAAGGCAAGTTTCTTCCTGGGAAGCCAGGTCCAAGGACTGGGCAGGGTGCAGAAGAACGCACATTGCCACATCTTTCTGCACAGCTGTGTTGGCTGTGCAGGTGAATGTGCAGCATGTCGTTGCCACACTGCAAAGAAGCGGAGGTCAGCCCTGGTTTTGATCAACGTGCCGTTTGTTCGTGGCAGCTTGCAGTAAAAGTGAAGGCTATTAATGCTTGAACATAACTCTAGGCAGAGTTATGGGACCAGTTGTGCTAATAAAATGATCAACAACAGAGTTTTAATTTGTAACCTGGAGAGAGCTTTCAGTGGTGTTGGTAACAGGAAGGGAGGGAAAGAAAAGCATATTTTGCTAGAGTGTGTTTTGCCAGAGGGCTAGATCTAACTTTTTCTTTTGAAATAATTGCTTTGAGCCTAGATATTTGAGAAAACTGGCTGCGCAGGTTTCTAGTGGTGAGAATGAGAAGTATTTTCCTTGTCCTTTCCAAAGTTTTCTTCACAAAAATTACGACTGTTCTAGTTCTTTAATGTTGATTTATCGTGTTTATAATACAATGTTGAAGCATATATTTTGGTGATATGAATATTGACATAAATCTGGTGATTTGTGCCAGCTGCAGAATCTGTGCCACTGTGTCCTTTGAAGGTATCTGCAGTGTCTGGTTGATTGCTTTTAGCTAGTCGCTCATACCTGGCATATGGACAAGACTGCTTTTATTCTAATGCCTTTATGTCCACAGTTTTCTTTCTCCCCTTTCCCCATTTTCATGACAAGAAGTAAATTCTCTAAATGTTTGAATTTGTAGATAGCAAGCTATGTGAACAAATTTGCCTCGGACATCTCCATCTTGCAACGGTCGCTAGCAATCCTGGAATCAATGGTGCTCAATAGCCACGACCTGTACCAGAAGGTGGCACAGGAGATCACAATTGGGCAGCTAATCCCACATCTGCAGGGGTGAGTATCTTCAACTGCCACCAGATACAGTGCAATTTTTTTTTCCCCCAAATGAGCACAGCGTTTGGAAGGAGTGGTATAAAGACTGGCGGCCTTCTCTAAGACTCCTGCATCTGCTGTAAGCAGCTGGATGACTGGTAACCAGCTTTCTGGAGTTGCTTGATCATTGTTTTTTCTTTTTCCTTTCTCTTTTTTTTCATGCTAAGCTGCCGTTTGCTGTGCAGTTGGAAATGGGGAATGAAGAGAAGAGTACTCGGTAGTAATAAAATGCTTAACATCATTAGTATACAGATGGGGTTGTTTTGCTGGACAGTTTCTGGGAAGTGTGTAAGACAAAAACTGGTCAACTTTTGCTGAAGGTGTATTTGAAAAGGGAGAGGCTTGCTCTTAAACAGTAATGTGTGGTGGTTAAATGGATGGAAACTGCCCCTTGTAGCATAAGGTAATGTATTGTGAACCATAGTTATGCTTGCCTCCCATCTGGGACATTTTCCACTCACATGAAAAGCTTTTAATATCAATGGTTATCTCCAGAACCCTTTAGGGAAGGTTACTCTACTCTTCCTACCTCTAGCTGTTGGGCATCTGGTAGAAGCTGATTGTTTAGGCTCCTGATATGATCAGCAGAGGGTCAATGGCCCTTCAAGGGTGTGATTCCTTCCACCTTTCTTGAATGCTGAGTCTCCCTCTGGAACATCTTGACTCTCTTCATAATAGAAACAACCCTCTCAATAATAGAAGCAACCTGGTCATGACCAACCTTGACATATTGTCTAGCTTTACATGGTTAACATTAAGTGCAAACAGTCCCTCCACTTCTACCTACAGTAATGCAACAGGAAGATCAGTTTTTACAGCTTGTGTGTATCCACATTCTTCTGTTACATTTATAATTTTGTTCCAAACAGGACAGACCAAGAAATCCAGACATACACCATAGCGGTAATAAATGCACTTTTCCTTAAAGCACCGGATGACAAGAGGCAGGTAAGTTCTTTGGTCTTGTTGTATATCTACGTATCTGTAAGAAAAGTGTGTCATATGCATACCTACAGTTGTCCCAGTCACACTTCTCTTGCAGTTAATTCAAACTGAAACTTGTTCTGTTGTTTCATGCTGTTATAGTATCATTCATTTTAATGGAGCTACCTCCATCTCGCATCCCATTAGTAGGGATTAAGCATTCTTCTGTGCTTTTTTTAGTTCCCTGTAACCTCACATGAACCATATTGACTGTGGCTGGCTGTAATATTTATTGTACTGAACTCTTTGCCAGCACAGCTTGTAAAACCAGGCTATTTTTTGGTAAACCGTTCCCCCTCCTATTTTTTAATAAAAATTACATTCCTTTTGAAAATGGAAATATGTTGGCATGTATTTAATGACTTTTATAGTATACTATTTTAAGTTAACTTCAGTGCCAGAGATCAGAAGTCTCAAAAGGAAATACTTCAAGATTGCTAGTTGCTGTTAAATGAGGATGGAATGCAACGTGTTATGAAATGGAGACGTTTTATCCATGTTTATCTAGTCATTAACCTATGTCCAAACAGATTTAGTTATTTTATTTAACACTTCTGCCACCAGGAACAATGATGGTAATTCTTGTGGTAACATACTGTTAGTGTCCAGAACAAGTTCATTGAGAGCTGCTGAGCAGTTCGGACAAGGAGTTTCTTTAGATTTATTTACATTTTAAAATGCTGGAGACTGTTTAAACAAACATCAAAGCCCTAATGGGTAATTTCTCATTTTGCTTCAAAAAATATTTTTAAAATTACAAACAGGGGAAAGTAAAACCATAGTTTAATATAAAAAAAAAGCCTTTTTTCCCTCCTATTCCTTTTTCCTTCTTCCTGCAATACAGTCTTCAGTTATTAAGGGAGGAAGGCACCTAATGAACAAAAATTGGACTAAAACTTTCTTTCAATTTTGACTTAAATCTGTGATAGGTCCTTGTAAGAAAAACAAAGATAAATTGTTGCTACTGGTTTGTTTTGTGGAAAGTATGCTTTAGTCATATTTGAAATTGAGAGACCGTGTCAAATGTACAGAAGACATTAATAGTAATCGGTGAGTATGTGTTCCTGAAGATGACAGTACCACAGGGTCTTCCCAGCAAGTGAAACTGTATTTGACTGGCAGCGTAACCACCTAGTCAGGCTGGCAGTAGACCATGCAGACTTCACTTCAGCTGTAGTACCTGCTGTTTTGACACAAAATTGTTAGTCATGGAGTTTATGATCATTAGAACCTAATCACCTGATTTGGCTTGAAGGCTAATAACTATGACACATGCAGAAAATTTCCTTCAGCCTTTAATAACCTATAATAAGAGTTCAGAATCTGTTAGGTTTCTCTTTGTATCTATGTTGTGGTTAATTAGTAAACCATACATTGAAGAAGATAGGTGTCCATTAGCTTCAAGGTAGGGATAACTGATGTGGTTTACTGAATTCTGTCTTTCTAAGACGACAAACTGAGATGAAGCAGTCTCATGTACTTATCTGACTGTGGGTTCTCAAAAGTTAGGGTTCGGCCCTCACAACGAATGTGGGTAGGAGTGAGAAACTACACCAAACCCTGTATGGCTCTAGGAGCTTTGGCATCCTCCCTGCTACCGTCTTACAGGGACTGGCATGATGTGGATGACTGCACTGCAATTAAGGAAAGGATTTAAACTGGTGCTGGTATCTGAATCCCTTCCCCTCCTTTTTTTTTTTTTTTTTTTTCCTTTTCTGTTTCTGTTAACACAAAAATCTAGGAGGTTCAAGGTTTCTCTTTTCTAATCAGGACTCCCTTGTTTTGCTTCCTCTGCCACTGTCAGGCACCAATTTGTCTGGGGAAACCTAGGTTATTTAAAAAAAACCACGTAAAGCTTTATCTGAAAAGAGCTGTGAATTTGAGCATTGAAATGATACTGTGAATGTTTGAAACATTTTTTTTGGCAATTGTCTGCATTTCTACAGAGACATGTTGCTATGGGAAATGAGATGGCAAATTTTTTCAAAAAATACTTGTTCTCATCTGTTATTCCTATACTTATTTTAGAAGAGGCAGCTCATCAGCTGCTAATAGCCATATAGCCTTCTTGGAGACAAAGTTGATTTTGTTGCAGTAATTGGTTTTGTGAATGCTTGTTTTGCTCGTATAAGTTTTTGGTCCAGTGACAAAAAACAATATCCCAATAGAGGCTTTTTAAATTACAGGTATAAGAAAGAAGTGGCAATTTGATAATCTTCTCCAAAAAGTAAAATAATAGATTATTTATTTATTTTTTACCGTGAATGCAGAAAAGACTACCTCATATTCTTTACCTGTCCATCTTTTGGCAGTGGATATACTTTGACATAACTAGCCAGTCTGTTTCCCATAATGTGAAGTCTATCATGTGCCTGGCACTCCCCCTGCAGCTCAGTTGTGCATTTCAGAAGAGATGGAAGTATTGGTATCGTTCTTTCCTTTGCTGTTTGGTGCAACTGAAACCTGCCCAGCCAGAAAAGGCTTAAAAACTAAAGCTGAGTTTCTCTTGTCTTTGGTCCCTTCTTCCTTCCTTATCGTTCCCATGTTCTGTTGCAGCACCCTTTGTCTGGTATACTGAAAACAGTCAAAATCCGTGACTGCCTCCTGTCTCAAAATGAGAGTTATTTTCTTTTTGCAAGCAAGTGCTCACCCTAGCACTTGCTTTATTTACACTGTTTCTGCAGCCATGTTTCAGCAATCCAACTCTTCGTATGTTTTATATAATAGTCTCAGTCTTCCTGTTTTCTAGTTTCTTGTTTGTTATATAAAAGTAAGCAGTAATGTGCTCCTCAACTCTCACAAAGATCAGCAGGAAT